CCACCGTATAGCCCCTGGAACTGACTTTCCAAATCCATGGTCCCCCAAGCCCACCAGCTAAGGGTGCACCCTGGCCCTCAGGGAAAAGACACAAGGCCCCTTCCAGAGGTGGCTGGTGTACACACCCAGAGCCCTGTACAACTTGTATAGGCTGGGATCCAGGTACCAGTCTGGACAAGCAGACTCAGCAAAGCTAGGCTATTTCCTAACCCCAAACAACCGGGCAGCTCCAAGCACACACTGCCAGGAAAAGGTCCTTGTGGTCACCTTTCCGCTTCACTGCTGTAGGGGTGGGGAGGAGGGGTTCCACTCCCGAAACCACCTCATTTGCCTTCCCAGCCAGGGCCAGCCCTGCCGATGCCTCCACTACACCTTCTGTTCGCCCCCGAACATGTCACATGGTGAACAAATTCATAAGGCAGAACTCTCGGATGGGTGAATTTTTTCCAGGTCGGTGGCGATCAGCTGGTTAGTGGGCTCTCAAGGCCCGGGATAGAAGCTAAAAGACAGAGCTGGCTCCGGGCACTGAAAGTCCTGCTCACCTGGCACTTTGGGCTCCCAAAGTGGGCCCCCAGAGAGCTGGCTGGGGTGCTGTGGGGATTTTCTCCTGGTGGTAGAAATGGGCCAGCTGAGCAGCAACGCCGAATTCCCATCCCCCCACCAGGGGGCACATGCTTCACTGCTGTGCCCGATTCCTTTGCCTCACCTCTTCTTGGTATTTAAAGAGGGATATTTATTCTCTTCTCCTCAAACTCTAGTCCCAACTCCCATGGGACCATTTCTTCCTCAGAATTAAAGTCAGACTTCAATGAATCAAATAGGAAAAGCCCACAGAGAAATTTTTCATGAAGGAGCCTGACAACAGTTTGGAACCACTTTGCTGCAAGGTTTCCAGCTCAGAACCCACTCCCGCTGACAGGGACAGGGGGCAGAGTAATGAAGTGGAAAAGATATGTTCACAATGTTGGTCGCATCTGCTCCCATCTCTAAGCAACCCCGGGCCCTGGATCGCAGGGTGGCAACCCAAAGATGCCGCCTCAGCCGCCGGCCGGTATTTACACTCCAGCCAATGAAGCGAGTTAAAGGGTTGTACAAACGCTAGACATTGGGCAAACAGACCAAAGTGTTCTGTCCAGATGTCCAGCGGGAAGGCTGGGCTCTGCACCTCGGGGAGTGCTCTGTTCCCATGGAATGACCTCACCCTCCCCTGAGGATGTCACGAGGTTCAGGCCCTCTGCTGTGGGGACCCAGGAAAGTCAGTTCTGGTTGTTGGCAGCCCACGGGCATGGGATTTCAGTCTTGCCCTTTGGAGCCTCCGCTCTGGAAGGAAGGATCACCCAGGAGTACAGGCCTCTCTGGCACTATTGACCATCTCGCCCTGGCCTGTGGGGAAAAGGCATTTTGCCAACTTTGGGGCCTCTTCTCCACCAATGGGGTGACCGCTCACAGCCCCTGGTCATTTTTATTTATACCACAGCCCATACTACACAAAACTTCTTAGAACTCAGAAAGTCCCCAAATTAGCATTTCTATGGCAACACATTCCCCCAAATTCCCAGGTTATCACAGAGTGATTATCCACGGCCCCAAAGAAGTGATAGGAGATTTGATTTAGGAAGTTCCTAAAGGCGACCCTAAAGACTCCTTTGTCCCCCAAATTAGAACATGGGTGGGAGACAAAACAGAAAGTGCTGTTGTGCTGCTAGCTTGGCATCTTTGGGGGGCAATGTTGGCAGTTCTGCTTTTTAAAGGCCTGGGCTGTGTCAGAAAGAGAGTGAGCTCTGCTCAGCAGAAGCCTCGGCCAGCCCTAAAACATTGCCCAAGAGCTCTGGCTCTGTCCTCACTGACCTGCTTCTCATTCCCCTTTTGGGGTCTATTCTGGAAAGGACAGCCACAAGAGCCCCCATCTGAGACCACATGGGACAAGAGAATGCCCACTGAGATCCCTTGGGCCAGGGGCAGTAGTGGAGGCGGGGAATGACTTAGAAAGTGTTTAGGGAGTTGGCCCATGTATCTAGGAGGGGGATCAGTAGGATGGGGGTGAGGGGATGAGGGGGTGAGGGCAACACCTGCCTTCTGACAAGGAATAGTAACTGAGCAGCTTCTTGGCGCCCTGCACCAAAGCTTGTAAAGCGCCCGACAGTATGTATTTTAGGTTTTGCAGGCCATATAGTCTCTGTACAACTCCCTCATTCTGCCCCTACAGCACAAAGGCAGCCACGGACAATAGTAAACAAGTGGGCACAGCTATGTTCCAATAAAAACTTTGTTTACAATCTGCACCCCACACTGTAGAGGCCTCTTTTAGGCAACAGGCTTGAGCAATGGAAACCTGAGTAAGGGAAAAGGGCGCACGGTGACCACTGGGCTGAGTACAAACAGGCCCATTAGGTGACCCACCTCAAAATAGCCATAACTCCCAGCTGACCAATGGGCCACTTACAACTGGGCACAGGTGCCGAAGAAGGAGCATACATTCCCATAACTCCTCACTCCCCACCTTAACTACAGCCCCCCACCACTGCCTCCTGGCAGATGTCTCTCCTTGGCTGTTCACCCACCGCTCCCTTGCAGTGTATTCAATAAACTCCCATCTCCTTTGTTCTGCCTTGGGTGAATTCTTTCCCTGCCCTCGCCTCCGGCTTCCACCTGGCCTCTACCTGATCGGTTGCCCCACACCCAGCAGTGGTCTGGATTTGGCCTAGGGGCAGCAGTGTGCTAACCCCTGCTCTAGACACAAGAATGGAGACCTTAGGAGACAAGCCACCAGCCTCCCTTAAACAGACAGCTGCTAACCAAACACTTTAGGTAACAATCAGATGGTTTTCTTGCCTGGTCACTCTGTATCCTCTGTACCTTTGACCTCCCAGTGGGCGGGTGAGGAGCCAATGGGAGTGCTCCCGCTACAGTGCTTTTGGACTGTGAGTGCTTTTGGTCTGTGTTAACACACAGACCTGTTAGAGGCTGATGAGGGCAACAGACCCTCCCGCGGAGAAACGCACACACAATTTGCTTGCATACAACTTTAAGGGGGTGTACAGTCCTCCTTAAGTTTATTCATGATCACCCGGAGGCCTCAAAACCCTAGGGGAAGATCCCTCGCTCACTCCAAAAAGAGAGCTAATTTTTTTTTTTATATACAAAAGAGCTCTTACAAAACACTTAAAAAAGATCAACATACCTGTAGAAAAACAGACAAATCGCACAAAGAAGCAATTCACAGAATACAAAAGATCACAAAAAAAGAGGTGGAAAGATGTTCTGCCTCGTAAACAATTAAAGGCAAATTAAAAAAAAATCATGGTATATCATTTTCAACAGATCAGACTGGCTAATGTTTAAAAGACTAATAACAGGGCACAGGAAGGGGTGTGGAGAAAGGGCCACTCTTACTCCTGCCGGTCCACCAGAACCAGTATGGGGAAGACCAGCAATCCCACTTCTGGGAGTTTATTTTACAGAAATATACATACGGGGGTGTGCACCTTAGCATCATCATAAATCAGAAAGACTGGGGACCTGGGGCGCCTGGGTGGCTCTGTCGGTTAAGCATCCGACTTCGGCTCAGGTCATGATCTCACGGTCCGTGAGTTCGAGCCCTGCGTCGGGCTCTGTGCTGACCGCTCAGAGCCTGGAGCCTGTTTCGGATTCTGTGTCTCCCTCTCTCTCTGACCCTCCCCCATTCATGCTCTGGCTCTCTGTCTCAAAAATAAATAAACGTTAAAAAAAAAAATTAAAAAAAAAAAACAGAAATAAAAATGCACAAAAGAGTACAGAGTAAATCTCCCTCCTGTCACAGAGGGCAAGGCAAGCAGAGTTCCCAGATTTGTGCATGTCACCCACACCCGAGTTGTCACCCACACCCTGAGCATCCCACATACACAGCCCTGTGCTGTGCCTTTCTCACCCAACACAGATCTCTCTGAACTCCCCATTTCCATGTGCCTCCACCAGACGGTTACCCCTTCCCACCAGGACAAAGTTAATAAGGCAAAGTGAACAGGATAGGCCCTGGGCTGGGCCTGGCCATGGGCTCACAGCCTGCAGGTAGAGGGGTCATGGAGATGCCAGCTACCTATTTAAGCTCCTTCCAAGAAGACCAGCAGTCCCAGGGCCCCTCAATAGCATGACTCGACTCACTAGTAGAAAGGGAAATCAGAAACCAGAGTGCCCTGCGAATGGCGACAGTAGATATTACATCATATAAGTTTTTCACGGGGAAACTAAGGCAAGCCAGACTTTGTTGTCGGGTGGAAATCTCTCTGAGAAACGTAGTATTCTCACTTCTTTCCCATCAGCCAGCTCTGAAGGGCAAGCCTGCAGAGAGCTCCCTTCGTCTTCCTGGGGAAGACATTTTTGGCCTTCTTTGACTCTCTTTCTTTCAACCTGGACCTTCCTGCAACCACTCTCACCTCAAAAAGAAACACATTCTGTGGTGTTCCACTGCTATAGGTAAGGTAGGCGCTCAAGCATCCCAAGAAAACATCTCCCTCCTCAGGTCGGCTCGCTGTGCCCTGGCATGTAGAAAACCAAGAAGAGACGCAGCCGGGTACTCCCCTGAGCTTTCCATTCCATTCTGGACAAAGGCAATGGTGAAGGGCGAGGAGATTCCAAGGGAGGATTGTTTCTAGAGTGCACTATTAGCCAGAGTTGCCATGGAAAAGGAGAGGAAAGAAAGTGGGCAGCAGCTTTTTTCCTTCCTGCTCCTGTCTTCTCTGGGTACGTGGCTAGTGAGGTGGCTTCCTCAGTACCTAAGCCAAGATCAGAAGGCAGGGGATGGGCTCACTCCGAGAGTTGTGCTCTGCCTGCCTCCGGAACCTCCCAGCCCAGGAGGCCATGACTGGCTTTGCTAGGCCGCTTCATCACCAGCAGCCTCTCCTGCTTGGGATGTCCAGGCACAGGTAGGCCAACGGAAAGCAGGGCAACTGAAGCCAATAAAAGCTGCCTCAGATTCACAAGGAGATGACCAAACGAGAGAGCTTTAAAAAATCAATACTTACTGTTAACGAGGTGAAAGTCATGCACATCCCACCAAAGCCATTCAGAGACAGGGCGATGAAGATGAGCACAGACAGAGCTGGAAGGAAACAGAAGGCTCATCAGCCGGGAACCACGGCTGAGCTTCAGGGAGGCCTGGCCCACTGCCTCGCAGAGAGCAAGCAGAATGGACGACGGGCCATCGGGGGCTAGCGCCGGACACCCGGGGAGGGGGAGCTGGAACAGCCTCTTCCTCCTCACCCCCCTCCTCTTTGATTTTACAGGACTTGGACTCCTGCTAAAGGTCTGACGCCACCCCTTCCTTTCTCCATTAACCTTAGAGCAAGCCAGAGGCCCAAAGAAGCTGCTTCACCGAAACCAAATATACGGGTCTTCAAAAATCAGTAGATGAGCCCAGCTAAGATTTTGATGAAACCCAAGTTCTATTTTGGTATTTGTTCTGAAAGTCTTTGAAGCAACAGCTCCACCTAAACAGGGTTGGGGACCAGTTGGATTCTAAGCCATTTTTTAAAAATGTAGGCTCTATGCCCAACTTGAGGCTTGAACTCACTACCTGAGATCAAGAGTTGCACGCTCTTCTGACTGAGCCAGTCAGGTGTCCCAGCTTTTTTTTTTTTTTTTTAATTTTTTTTTTAATTGAGAGAGAGAGACAGACAGACAGACAGAGTGTGAGCAGGGGAGGGGCAGAGAGAGAGGGAGACACAGAATCCAAAGCAGGCTCCAGGCTCTGAGCTGTCAGCACAGAGCCTGAAGCAGGGCTCGAACCCACAAACCATGAGATGGTGACCTGAGCCGAAGTCGGACGCTTAACCGACTGAGCCACCCAGGCGCCCCCTAGGTGTCCCAGCTTTTAAGCCAACTTCACAGTGCTGGCCTAGGCTGCCTCAGGGGACTCAGCTCCCAACTTCTGGACACACCCCTCAGCTAGCCTGGTTCTTAGAACTTGTCTGGGGTTGGCATCAATGAAGCCATCAGGGACTGGCTTGGCTTGTGATGAGATGGGAGCATGGTACACCCCGGGAGCTTCTCTCAGACGTCTGTCTGGGGGACTGCTGTCTTACCCAGCCACCTGTTTGAGATAAGTAACTGCGTGAAGGCCTAACAGGCATCCCCTCTAATTTGAGCAGTAAGGCCTGGCATGGCTTCCTAGAGCAGATGGACCTGTGAGCACCTCTGGGCACTCTCTCTCCAGTCCCTGACCAAAGAGTAGAGGAAAAGCATACTCACAGTTTGGGTTACTTGCTCCATATGCAATCAGCAAGCAGGAGACAGCAAAGCAGGCACTAAAAACAAGCAGAAATAGTACATTATTTATTATTATTGTAAATAGTGTTATTTGGAAGTATTTACCATAGGTCAGATGTTTTCAGAAAATGTATATACATTCTCTCATTTAATTTAACATTTCTAAGGAGTATAATTGGCTCCGTTTTACTCATGAAGAAAATAAAACAAAAAGAAAGAAAAAAACAAACAAACTACATTCTCAAAAGTCTCATAGCTAGGAGGTGTCTTAAACTGCAATTCAAGGCCCGAAGGCAGATCTGGTAAATACCACTATCTCCTGTGCCTTCCCCTCCCATCCTCAGACTGGAGAGGCCAAAGCTCTGAAGTGAGAGAGAGCACAATCCATTCTCCAGATTCCTCTGCCCATCGTGCCAGGGGAGGAACAGAACTGCACTGAGCATGAGGGAGATAATGGCAGTTTCTGAGTCCTGGCTGCCTGGCTCCATCCTGGGGACAGAGGCCTCTCAAGCTCCAAAGAATGAGTGAAACTGATCTCCTACCCATGCCCTTCACGGTCACAGGCCTCACCCGTTGCAAACCACTGCCCTCCATGTGATCGTTCCCAGTGGGCCTGATCTGGGGAGGATGCTGGCCTGAGAGGGCTAGCTTCTTGGTGGACTGACCCTGAGTCTGGCAGACTGGAGCTTTACGGACCATATCAGGAAGTGCACAAGATGAACCACTGCAGTGCCGGGGGGTGATGGAAACAGGAGGACTTCTGCTTTATCACTTTTTTTTTTTTTTTTTTTTTTTTTTGCAAAATTTTTTTAAATTTCAATTTTAGCTAGCTAACATACAGTGCAATATTGGTTTCAGGACTGGAATTCAGTGATTTTTTTTTTTTTTTTTGCAATTTTTAAAAATTGAAACTATTTTATCATTTTTAATCTTAGCCACTTTAATTGACATTTTTTTGTACATGCATCATAAAGCAACATAAAACATTAAAAATGGCATATGTGTATATAATTGATAATTCCATGCTTATATTGGACGTACATGTTCAAAATCTTTTTTTTCTGATGGGAGAGGTCAAAAAGATGGTGGAAACCAATGTTCTTAATGATAAGCAACTCCAAACCCTCCCAGGCGGGCCTGGGGGCCTGATCCTTTTTTATGCAGTATTGGCATGTCTCAAGGATCACAGGACCTACTGATTTGGTGGTGGAATGAGTAGGAAGCCCACTCCGGGTGGGCATTTAGGAAGGTCCACCGTGCATCTGATAGCAGGTACAAGGATTCCCTACAGTGGGGACCTCAGCCCCAGGAGTCCCACCTGCCCACCCCCAATCCCTGCACTGACCTGCCCAGCAGCCTGAGCTTCCTCGGGCCATACTTGTCCATGACGATGCCTAGAGGTAGGGTGATGGCGCTGAGCAGGAAGGAGCCTACGGTGAAGGCCAAGTTTAGCATCTCATCCTGGGCCTTGCAGCTGAGCCAGCCATTCATCCAGCTGACCTCCTCGTGCTCCAGCTCTTCCGTGTCCCCCACTGTGCCGTTGGTGACATTCTCTGTGTGTGCAGAAGGAGGGAAACTTGACCACAGGGTTGAGGCCAGGATTCCCAAAGATCAGAGGGCAAATGCACATTCAGACCCCACTGGAAATGTCAGGGCTGGCTCTGGCTCCCCCACAGCAGGTGTGGCTGTCCATCTGGTCCCAGCCCCCTGGAGCGATAAGGTGGAGGCCCTGGTCTTTTGTGGAGGGCACAAACCCTTTGGAGAATCCAACGGAGGAGGCTCTACTCCTGCTCCTCAGAAAATGCATGTGAAGTGTTGTCCACAGTGTGAGGAGATTTATGTGTCCCTTGAAACACACAAGCCCCAGCTTGGGAGTCCCATTCTAGAGTAACCTATGCTCTGGAAGAATAGGCCTCAGGACCCAGTGTAGGCTGTGGGGCCGCAGGTGGGCTAAAACCTCCTCAGCAGCTCTGTCCCTGGAAAAGGACAGCAGCCAGTATGTAGGCGGTCGATCCTAGATCACTTAGCAAGCACAGGCTGCTGGTCTCACCGCAACACTCCGGTTCTCCTCAGTCAACCAAAGGGAAGAGTAAGCGGGTCTCCTTTACTGCTAAGTACAGGAGACTTCTCATACCTACACCTGCTACCTCCCCCGGGTATTTTCACAGCATCGACCACCACACATACTGTGTCACAGAATCCCTGGGAAAGGTTTTTTTATTTTTTCAATTAAAAAAAACATATGTGTTAATGTCTATTCATTTTTGAGAGACAGAGAAAGAGAGTGAGCGGAGGAGGGTCAGAGAGAGAGACAGACACAGAATCTGAAGCAGTCTCCATGCTCTGAGCTGTCAGCACAGAGCCTGATGCGGGGCTGAAACCCCCAAACCGTGAGATCATGACCTGAGCCGAAGTCGAACGCTTAACCGACTGAGCCACCCAGGCACCCCAGGAAAGATTTTTTTTTTTAATTTTTTTTTTTTATATTTATTTATTTCTGAGACAGAGACAGAGCATGAGCAGGGGAGGGACAGAGAGAGAGGGAGACACAGAATCCGAAGCAGGCTCCAGGCTCTGAGCTGTCAGCACAGAGCCAGACGCGGGGCTCGAACTCACAAACCGTGAGATCATGACCTGAGCGGAAGTCGGTCGCTCAACCGACTGAGCCACCCAGGCACCCCAGGAAAGATTTTTTTAAAACAGTCCCAAGTTACTTGCTTTCACTCGTTGAGGTTCACATTTCTTATTTTTCTTGCTGGGGGTCAAGTGTTGCTGTCCCCTGTGACCACAATCTTGAGCTGCAATCTCAGCCCTTAACGGCCTCTCCAAAATCCACCCAGCACCAAGACAACAAAAACTAGGGAGGAAGAAGCACTGAAGCAGCTGAGGGCTGGAGGGTGGAGTGCAGGCCGGAAGGCGGCACAGAAGCCCTCCCTCCCTGACTGCTAGTTAAGAGATGCTGACTAATCCCACGAGGAGCAGCCTCTGATTAGATGCGAGGTCACACCGGGAGAGTCAAGGAAACACCTCTCTCCAGATAACTGCCTGACTCCGGATTGCGGCCCTCTGGCGCCAGGGCTATAAAGCTGAGGGCTGCAAAGGCCTGCCCAGGCCTCTCAGGGCTGCCCCAGGGTCACGGAAAAGGATGCACTTAAGGTGAATCATGCTATATGCCAACCTCCTAACCAACAAGCCCTGCTGGGGGCACACAGGTTGAGGGTGAGGTGCTACAACCTGGCCTCTGGGTTCCAATTTTGGTGTCTCTACTTCCTACTTGTATAACCTCAGAAAAGTGACCTAATCCCACTCTATCTCAGTTTCTTTATGTGTAAAATGGCGTAACGTAATAGCAGTATCTACCTCCTAGAGTCTGCCCGGGAGATAAATGAGAAAATCCAGATAACGCTCTGGGGCTCACATGGCCGTAGAAAGTACTCAATGAACAATAGTTATGAGTTATTATTATTACTATCATGGGAGTCCTGGGAGGGTGCACCTGGGTGGCGGCGGAGCTGGACAAAGTAACTGGGTGCAGGGTCCCATAACTGTGTGTGCGTAGCATGAATTTGCATCTAGTCGCCTGTTAGGCTGGGGGCCGTGTCCCCAGCACCTCACCCAGATCCTGGTGTATGGTAGCTATTTACTGAATGAATGAAAACAACGGAGTCAGATCACAACAGCCAAAAGGCCCCAGAGAGAAGAAAGGAACTAGGACATACGGAACCATGAAAATAGAGGGGACGCACGGAGATGACAGGCACATTGCTAACCTCCTAAAGCCACAGAGACAAGACCCAGCACGCCAGATTCTCCCCCCACCCCCAATCTCTGCCACTTCCAGTTTTCCAAAAGAGGCCCCACCATGTTGACAGCCCAAACACAGGACAAACAGGATCATCTGAGTCCATCAGCGTCCGGGTCAGAACCACCACACACCCTGCCTTAGCCAGCGGGCCCGAGCCGCTCATCCACTGTGGGATAGCCTCGGCAGAGGCCGGGCTGCCTCACAGGCTGGCACTGGTTTCTGGTGACAGCTCGGCCAGCAGCAACAGGAAGCAGGAGGACGGGGTCCCCACACAGCAACGGCCATCCCCACGTTGGTGTGCAGATAGGGGCAAAGCAGCACACGTGTGACAGGCTGGATGGGTGCAGAAGGCCCCTCAGGGCCCAGGATCGTTGGCTGGCGAATGCTGATTGCGGCCATGCAGGGTCTGGAGCCCATGACGGCACTGAAGGACACGAAATGGCCTGGATGGCTCAGTCGGCTGAGTGTCCGACTTCGGCTCAGGTCGTGACCTCACGGTTCGGTTAGTGAGTTCAAACTCCACATCGGGCTCGCTGCTGGCAGAGCCCTCTTCAGATCCTCTGTCCCGTCTCTCTCTGACCCTCCCCTGCTCACACATGTGCGCGTGCTCTCTCTCTCTCACAAATAAATAAACATTAAAAATAAATAAATAAATAAATAAATAAATAAATAAATAAATAAATAAATGACACAAAATAACTCAGGACTCGGGAGCACGGCAGGATCTGCTGCTACAGGCAGGGAGCCAGAGCTGGACCGAGAACTGATGGAGCCAGGCAGCACCATCTCTGGGTAGAGGCCCCAGGGTGTCCACCCTCAGTTTCCCCAGAGCTGGACTCCTAAATCCATGATGATACTCACCAACAGAGAGAAGATAAATCCCAAGGCAATGTACCCAAAGCAGTCTCCCTGATTTGCCATAACTGGGGATGTCCACGGAAACATCTCGAATTATTTAGAGATGGATAGACAGAGAAGCTCATAAGGAGAAAGGCAACACCAGGGGGAAGGATATCTGTCCCCCGTCTTTCATCTTACAATCACTGCACACAGGAGCAGGGACCTTACACAACTTGGGCCACTGGCTTTCTCTCCTTAAAAAATTCCCTGCCAACAGGGCTGCCTGGCCCTCTGCCCTCCTGCCTCTAGGCAGGGATGTCCAGCAACAGGTCAGCCTGGGGTGGGGGGTCCCAGTGGCCTCTCTTCGTCTGCCCATGAAGCAATTCAAAAGTGTCCCTTGCTCCTAGAGGGGACTAAATCTTCGGTGAGCCCAGAAGCTTTGTTGGCAGTAAACAGTCCACGTGAATAGTCACAGATCCAGGAGATGCCCAAACACAGCCACACCCAAGCTGTACCTCTCCCTCTGCTCTCACCTGGGCCACCGTGGGCCAGGAAAGACACAAACAGATAAGCACAGAGGAAGTGTCAAGCCCTGGGGTGCCCCTCTGCTCCCAGACTAGAGCTCAGGCCTCACTCCAAACCGGCCTGCTCTGCACCTCACTTGCACCTGTTTATCAAACAGATGTCTCTGCAGTGGGCGGCCAGGGTGGCCTGGCCCAGCCCAGCAGGGGAAGGTGAATCAAGAGGACAGGCAAGGAATTGGTGTGGCCCGAGTGTGCTGAGAAAATAGCTTCAAGGCTGCTTAGGGGCAGGGAAGAGAGAACAAAGCCTGCACTGTTCAGCCCTCCTCCCAGAAGACTCGCACACAATCTGCACAGTGAAAGTAGGGGACAAAAGGGGGTGCTGTGACCCCACTCAGGTTCCCCTGACATCTCTGGGTCAAAGAGGGAGCTCCCCCCACCCCAGAGAAACAAAGGGAATGAGGAACAGAACAGCTGATTGCATGATGCTTAAGGGAGCGAGGGACACGGGGCTGGAGACCCCTCCAAATTTGTGAGCAGCCCCCTTCTCTGACTGGCTGTTCACTGGGCCCTCCACCCAGGATGCAGGCCCCTGGACCTCCCTGCTGATGGTCCCTGCCCCAGGATCTCCTGTCTGTCTCCCAAATCCTTAGTCTATCCGGCAACAGGAAGCAGCATCTCAGTCCAACAGGGGGATGTAGGTGAGAGGTCAGTCTCAGACACAGAGCAAACAAAAGGCAGGACACAGACAGAGGGCCATCGTGGGGAGGCCAGGGCCTAGCCCCTTGCTGCGGTCCCGGAGTGCCTGTGTATGCTGGCTGCTATATTCAGTGGTATTCGTTCTGTTTCACTCAGTGCCCTCTCACCCCCACCCAGATGCCACACGAGGACACCAGCAAGTTGCTTGCCCAAGGTCTCCCAGACAGTATATTATGGGGAAGCTGAACTTGAATCCAGGCTGCCAGACCCCAAAGTTCCTGCTTTTAACCTTCAGGCTGTGCTGATGCTGTACCACCTGAGTTAGAGGCATTTCAGAGAAAATATGCTGAGGGAATGGAGACAGCCCAAGGCTATCACAGTGTCGGGGACAGCACCAGGTGGCTCTTAATGACACCTAGTGTGAATGGGACCGTCCCCAAGATCCTCCCTGAAAGACAACCCAAGCTGAACAGAACCTTAATGCAACACCACGAAGGCAGGTGGGGCCAGCGGATGTGGGGGAGGGAAACTGGGTCATGAAATGGGCAGGAGGAAGGCAGGGGTGGTAGGAAGGGACGCTGAGGGCGCCAGCTCCTTTCTGTGATGCATCCTGAGGCCGAGGGCACCAGCCTTTAGACCTTACCCGTTGCTACAGAA